TTGACTCACACACATTTGTGTTCATGCATGTTTGCAAAACACAGAGGGCCAGGATGAAATGTATTTTCTGTTTAGAAGAAGGAATGGCAGTGCAACTCGGATAGCTACTTTCAAGAACTATCAGCCTGTTCTAGTAGCTAAGAAAATCCACATAACGCCCATTTGCAAAAAGCCTTCTGAAAAGCTTTATATTATGGAATGACTCAATCTTTAAGGAACTGGGGGCAAACAACCCACAAACACCTTAGTGCCAAAATATGTTTTTGTTAACAAATGTATTTGTTGGGTTTATTTCAGACATATTCTTGAAACCTCAAAAATGTAGCACACTCATTTTGCAACTGACTCATTGTGCACCAATTTTCAGCTTTTTCCCTTGTTTTTTTTTAAATGCAGTTCAGTTATGCCCATCACCCCACCCACAAATTAGGGGTTTATAATGGAAATTCTGACAGGGCCTTCACTATGGCGGTGCTTGCAGGCACTGTCATAATAAATCATTTACTATTTAATGACTCCTGATGTAATCACAGCAGGAGTCAGATTCACTAACATCCATCTCTCCATTGTTATCCAGGAGAAATAAGATGGTAGGGAAATACCACTCTTGTCTGAGCCCATCTTTTTAGCTCCCAACTTTAAAACGAGTATTTAAATTGGTAAAGAGACAGTTTACCACCACAATCCAACCTCTACATTTGTTTATGTTGGACGACACTTTTGTTCTGGCTCCCATTAGTCAGATGGATAAAGCTCAGAAGGGTTCTGCTTTACTGCCCTGTTTTCTCTTAGTGTTTCTGCATTTTCTAAATGCTACCAAATGGTTGCTTTTGGCTCCCAGCATTATCACATGTTGTCTATAAGTATGGAAATAGTTATGGTAATATGGACGTAAATCATAACTGTGAATACCACATAAAGAAGACTGCCACATAATTATAAAAATACCTAATAGATTTCTTTTTCAAAGACAACACAGCTGTCCCTTCTAACCTTTCATTTGTAGATTCTTTTCTCTCCTGTTTTTATTTATAGGTTGCCGTGCAGTTTGACATAGCACACCACGATTTTTGTTTCTAATTTTGAAAGAAACGAAAAAGAAAGAATACTCATTTCATCATAAAGGAGCATTAGTTTACAATTTTGAAAAGAAACTAACGCCAGCTCTAGAACATCATCTTGGAACCAATCTCCCTCTTAATACATTTCAAAAGAATCCGTCAATGGCTACATACCGCAATTTAAAATTAAACCCTGCCATCGAACTAAAGAAAGGGTCGGCCAAATGGCACACATCATGTGTTGGGAAAGAAGCCCCATTCTTTCTCTAAACATCTCAGTGTTTTTATGAAAAGAACCACACCAGGTTATTACACTGACCACAACAAAATAAGATTTTTATACCCTACTCAGGCAAAAACAGGTTGAAAAGTGTTATGGGTAAACTTGCACTACGCAACATGCCATGTTAATGAAAGGAGTAAAGCCTTACACAGCACTGATGCTGCCAAAAAGGGTTTTACATATTGTCTGGAAACACCAGTTTATTACATGGAACCACCATGCATTTTATCCCTTCCGAGTCAGCTTTGCAACGCTTAAAAGCAAAGTGACAGAAGTGTGTTTCAACTCTGCTTTATGCTAGACTCGCATGGTGCTTCATCCTACACAAACTTGTTCTTACCTCTTCCTTGTTGCCTTAAACTTACATACGGAGCCCGGATGGTCACAAAAGAGAGGCTGCAGACAACGCTGCTCATGCCACATGAATGGAAGGCTGTTATCTTTGAATCTTTGAAACATTTTTGCCTCAAAGCTTTTATCTATCACTAAGCAACCACTTCAGAGATCTATGCCTATGCCCTTCTACACAGCAAATCCTCCATTTTAACTCAAATAGTAGCAAACCTCTCAAGGGAATGAAGTTCATCTTAACCATCAGAAATGTACACTTCTCCCTCTCTCTCAAAATTTATGAAAAGAGTAATTATGGCTTTATGCAGAACAACGCACAGCTCTGAATGGGTGAATTACATTCCGATTCCCTTTCGGAGAAACAACTAAAACAAATGAACTGGAAAATGCTGGTGAGAAAGATCAGTCTGGGCTAGAGGTGTACTAATAGCTTATTGATACTGATTTTTAAGCAGATGAAATGTTCAAATCTGCACTGCATTTTTATCAGTCTACACCAACTGGCCTTTGCCCAAAAATGTGTCATTTTATCAGATGCGTCACTCGGTTGGGAAGCTGCCATGACTATACTGGGTGACTGAATGTTAAAATAATTTCTCCAGGGGGAAGAGGCTGATCCCGAAGGTTTTCTAGTTCCAAGGGGGAGATCATTTTTCACCACCAGCTGGAGCCTGATGTCAGACATGCCCTTGCTTCTTTTATTCTCCTCAGAGGTTGAAACCCAGCTTGTCCTTCCTGACTCCAATATTGTTTCACACTTGGGCACATAGCAGCTACTACACAGTGAACTATTAAAGCAGGAGAGCCCATGAGACATGGGAAAATAGTTTAGGGGAAGCTGTTTGACAGCAGGATGCGGTCATTTCTATTGTCCTATTAAAATAGAGATATCTGGGAAGCTTAACTTTGTTTTCACTATGTAAACAAATGTATTTTAGCCTAATGTGCCAAAAAGATGCAAATACAAAAAAACCCAACCAAACCCACACCACCAAAGCCCCGAACAAACCAACACAACAAATGTTTGCCCTTTTTGTGCACTGTGTCTACTTTCTTAGCAGGAATATGAGAATGAAGCCCTGTACACCTAAAAAGAAGGTTAATTTGTACTGAAAGAACAAATGCCCTAGGTTCCATCAGACTCTGGTGTTTTATTTTACATTTATAGTTTTGTCTGAGAACCAAAAGGAAGCTGCAGTGATTGAATGTCTTTTATAGAGTCATCTTATGAAAATATCTTGACATATTTTTATTCCCTTCTATTTGTTTTCTCCAGAACAATAAGTAGAGAGATAGAAATCACCAGTTCCCATACAATATGCGGCCAGTTAAAGCACTACAGGTTAATTCTTCAAACAAAATAGCAGCTAGGTCTTGTCCACACTAATGGCTTTAGCTTGCACCAACTATATTTAGATCATGCTTAAATGAAGTTAAGATGGCTATACCATTGGGGTTTTTTTAACTTGCATGACTTGTTCCGAGAACATGGTTGCGAATCCCTGCTACAGACTGGTTACCACATGCTTACAATAGACATTTAACATGAGAAGGTGAAACCATGTGGCTTCATCATCTCTAAGCATTTACATCAAGGCAGTATTGATGAAAATGATAACCTTTTTGAATCAGCTAGAGTTCAGTTTTCTAGCAGGTTTAAGCTGTAAAGGTAGAGCATAAGCAGATACCCGCAGCAGAGATCATTCACTGCAGCATTTACTGCATACACTGGCATCTTCTGTAATGTTCCTCTTCCAACACCAAGGCACCTCTGCAGTACTCTAATTAAGGCTTTGAAATAAAAAGTTATCAAATCCACAGCATATTGTGCTAAAGCTGGACCAATGCCAGACACATTAATAACTTTCTGACCTCATATTCTTCATAAATATGGAGCAGTCAGGAGACCATGAACAACTGCTTCCAGACCAGAAGTACTTACAATACTAGCAATATTTCTCACACAAAATATTCTAACTGTTATCACAGTTATTTTTATTGCTAAATTTTCAAATCTGTATTGTGGGTTTCTCTATATATGCATATTCAAGAAATCTGACTGAACTAGTGGTATGAATTTACAGAATATACAGAGGCTAGAGACCAATATACCTCTTTTGAAGTGAATTAAGGTAATCTGAACGAAAGCTATTTTCACTTTGAACGAGTGTGTCTGCACAAGGGACCAATTCACTTTAAAAGTTAACTCAGACAATTTGTCTTTGTATGTGAAGCTGATTCTCTGACACTGTCCAAGAAAGCTAAAAGTTATAGAAAAATCTGTCCTTTGACATTGCAGCATCATGTATTTACAATGTTGTCATAGCAATGATCATTAGATATTAGGCAAGAGAGGGAGGAATTGTATTTGTTTAATTTCAATTTCTGCTTTTCGCCAAGATGCAGTTTTTCTTAAGAATAATGAAAAGTTTCCTTCCTCTTTCCTTCTCGCTTCACTTCCCCAGAAAAAAGTGAAAAGAAAATTTGCATGATGAATTTGAGTAAGACAAGGATACAAACAGGCAATGGATATGTTAAATTCAAACGGACTTTTGTCTCAGCTGTTACATCATACCACATACCAAAGCTACTGCACTGCTACTGTCCACAGGAAGCACACTGTTCTAGGGATACCAGTTTTTAGGGGTAGGTAAGAGAGCGGACCAGAAAACTATTAGAGAAATAGATTCCTAGTTTTAAGCAAACTCGTATTTTTGTTATCACTTGAGTGGGAAAAGCTCTTGAGGATGTTTGGAATAGGTCTAAAACAATAGAGCCTCAGTGAGCCCTGGCCTTTAGGCATACTTCTAAGTAACTCTAATTAATAACAAAGATGAACATATTCTTGGAGAGAAGACACTGGGGGAGGGGCAGAATTGATGCAAAGATAACTGCACAGGGTAAAAATGCAGTAAACATTAAAGAACCTCAAGATTATTAACTGAGATATCAACCGTTGCTATTTACAAAGACTCCTGATACTCGCCTTTCTGTTTAACTCACTAATTCTTGTATGACAAACACCTTGTCAGTTCGCAGTACTTATCTACAAGATGTGTGATTTGGCTTCAACATGAAAGTAGTCCCTTTTAAAATCAAGCACCAAATCTGTGTGGCAGGTAAATGGTTAATGCTGAACAACATGCACACAATACTTCATCAACTCCCTTACAAAAATTAGGATATTATTCTTTATTATGGTGCCCTGTAATTCTAAAGTAAATCATGCCAAGATACTATCTTGCACATCTGTAGATCAGATATCATTACTCAGGAAAAAAAAAAAAAAGCTTTCATGCACTTACCTTATCCTCTAGCCGGATCAGTCTGGCTCCTACAGTACAGTATCCTTTGTCTACCCCTTTTTCTAAATAAAGAAGAATAAAAATGGGACATTCATTAGGTGGAGAATAAACTCAAACTGAGAATTATACCTATGGTATTTAAAGCAAAAAAGAAGCTGGTAATAGTAGGGTAATATAAATAACATGAACATAATAAGACAGATTTTCTTCATGGCGTACAGAAGTGAAAGAGGGTAGCTGGAGAGAAGGGAATTAGTTTGTCTAACTGACAAGATTAAGTTAGTCTGAAGGGCAACCTGGACTTTGGTAGAGGTAGTCTGTAGACATGAAGGACTATAGATAGTGTCTGAGGTAACTTGATTCCTTGTTTAATTATCTCAATTAACTGCATGTAGTTAGATGGCATAGGCATGCTCCCTAGGCATACCCCCCATTTTGAATATCATTGACATGAGCAATGTACACTTCCTACACATAAAGAAACCAGAATAGTTTTCAACTGAGGTTGTAGATGTAGGAGGCAGCACTATCCAGGGGTTCAAGGGCTGAAGTGGCAGAGATCTATCTCCTCTCTGCAAATGAGTGACACTGGGAAAAGCCCTTGCATCTCCATCCTCATTTTCCCTCCTAGCCTTCATGAGGCTATTAAAGCCTGAGGCTATTAAAGCCCAGTTATGCAATTTGTTTCACTCGCACACTGCGAGTGGTGGGATTGGGAGCCGAGATTGAAAACTGTGTAAAGTGGGGTCTAGTCTTTGTGTTTACGTGGCCAATCACAAAGGAATGCCATAGTTTGGGGGTGTTATTTCACAGGGAATGAAGCACAAAAACACATATATTCTGAGCTGGGAGAAAATATTCACACACCACCCCCCCCCACTCCAATATTAAAGTAACCTAGAAGCCTATGTCAATGGAACTTGGACACATTTTCCTCTATTAAACTATATTTCCAATACTGGGCTGGAGTAATTACTCCTTGTTTGTTCCATAAATTATGGAACTTTTATGAGTGGTTGAGCTTTAAAGCTATTTAAGTCCATTTTGCTTAGGGCATGAGCACAATGTGAAGGGCTTACTGGAAGGCAGGCTGAGATGTGAATTTACAGTGCATCAGCATCCACCGTAACTGCCTGTATGTGTGTGCATTCTGCAGGGAACTCAGATTCTTGCATTTCTCAATGAATGGTACTTGCTTTACCATTACCATTAGCAGTGTATACGTTTGCTAATGTGATATGTTTAGTGATATATTTGCACCAAAGTTCATCTCAAGGTAACTTGTACTGTATGCACCACAACCTTAGAGGAAGACTTTAGCGAAAAGCAATGCTGGCAAGAGTACTCTTCTTGCTTTCCTTCTCCTCTACAGACCACCTAGAATATTAAAAAGATCATGGACCCTTGGCAGCTCTATGCAGGCATTAGAAAGGAGAAGTGTTTCATCAGAGAACCTGCAGGAAGAAATACCATAAGGAGAGAATATTCAAAGATCGTTCAAGGACACTGTGTGGGGACAGAAAATAAATGACACAGCTTGGCTCATACATGCGTGCTGTTCATCATTCATTAGTTCACAGCCACGGAAACCTCTTAAAATATAAGTGGCTGAGGCTCAAGTTTATCTATGTATTCATCTCTGCCTAACATGAAATAATTGACTATGCAGTCTACTTTCTAGTTAGTAAACCTGCAGACACTTATCACCTTTCAAAGAATATACCAGAAAAAACATGCCTTTAAGGATTTCTAAATTGGGATGTGATTTGAACAACAGTGGATAGGTAGTGTTTTTGTTTAGGTCTAAAACCAAAAAGGCCCCCAAACCTGAAGAAATATTCCAATAAGCTTTTTTTTTTAAAAAAAAGAATAATTTCCTCATCAGCTCTAATTACATCCTTCATAGAATCACCAAAACATCCCAAAACAACCAAACCAAGTTAATAATGTTTCCTATTTTTGTTATTCTCAATGTGGTGTGGAAGAGAAAACAAGAAAATAGGAAGCAGATAACCAGTAAGAAGCTATTTCGTGGCATGTGGCACTCCTATCAGATGAAGTGAAAAGAATCATATACATGCATGTAGCTGTGTCATGTCCACCCCTTTATTGGCACGCAGCCTGTATAAGTCACAAAAGGCTGTGGTCTTTCCCATTTCTTATTAGCCTCCACGTAAATCAGCATTCAGCTCTAATTTACAAGCATTTTCCTCTAATACAGACCATCTTTAGAAGTAAATGGTGTGTGTATACAATGTGCAGAGCATTGTGGTAAGCAGGGTGGGCAGAAGTTCAGATAACATTGGTCTAGTACTTTTGATTTCTATCTCATGTTTATGCTTTCTCTCTCGAGTCTTTTCAAGATAAATGATTTTAGATTTCTTACAGTAGATTATTTGTTTTACATAGTTGAAAAGATTGCATGGCTAAGTATAAATCTGAAATGTCTTCATTTTTACATTCTTTGCTTTGTAATCCAAAATAACTCTCTTTTCGTATTGACTTTTGTCTGTTCTTTGTGTTGATCTGCAATTAGACAGACCAGCTAAGCAATCCAGTAACTGTGTACATATATGTGAAAGGCACAGGCACAAAGGAAACATGCATGATGATCATGAAAGGAAGCACAATTATTTATAACTGGATGAAAATACATATGGACAAATTTTAGATCAGAAGAAAAAACATATCTCGAAACAAGCTTGTGTCACATGGTTGGTATGATACAAAACATCATTTTATATACTTAGACTTGAATCAGATAAAACACTAGTATATAAGCAATAGGCATTATACTTCAGGAGACTGAATAGTTCTTGGGTCATCTAGTCCATTTCTCATTTTTATCAATATATAAATTTCTTTCCTGAAAGTCTTTGCCTTCCTGAGTATACATACTATTCTACTTTCAAAACAACATGATCCTGTATTTATTTCCTAGTATTTCCACAAAGATGGCCCATCTCTTTTTCTAGTGAACAACATGAGATGCCTCTTGTAAAAAAAATGAAAAATTTTTAGGTATTCCCCACACCAGTTGAGAAAACAAGAAAGGCCATCCCCAACCCTTTCCCCAAATGCAAGCACATGATGTAAATGGCATATTACTCATTATTCAAGTTTGTTTTCTTTTAAAAAAAACAGCAATTACCATCTGAAATGAGTAAAAGGAAAAGAGCGAATCAAATGAGGGACAGCAACATAATCTTAATTTTTTACTCAATTAGTGTGCTCCATCTCATCAGAATATACCAAACTTTTAAGAAAATAGATTTTTTTCTTTGGTTAGAAAAAATACTTATGGGGAGCATTAGGCCAGTGAACGAATTGCAGACAGATGGTCTGAAAATGATAAAAGCTGGAAATGATCTACTCTGCTTTTACAGAGTAAGAGTCCTTCCTTGATGTTTACTTTTATGGTGTATACAGCTAGAAGGGAGCTAACTCAAAAATTTTAAAATTTATTTGAAAGCCATTCATTTTTTTAAGCAGAAAATGAGGAATTTCAGCATTGTGACTAGGATACTAGTCACAATCTAGGATACTCCAGATTGCTAAAGACATCTCAAAAACTTGGCAAATTAGAACAAGTTCAGTACTTAGACTACAGAAAGCAGGATAGCGCAAGAGATACCGCTACCTTCTTCTGTCTAACTCAAGGCAACTACAGCCTTCTGTATCTGTGTTTGTTCAGTTCTGTAAAAGCTCTATGTTGGGAAAATTGTGATGAGCTTATGACAAGATCTAGATTCTTAGGTTTATAAACCAGGTGTGCTTCTGAAAACGCAAGTCAGGATTGCCCTTTTAAACCCTGGATCCATAAAATAGCAAATTACAAAGTTGCATTAGGCATCTTGACTTTTGACTTGAGTCTCTTCTCTTGTCAGCCAGAGCCTTTTACAACTTATAGGTAGAAGAAATTAAAAAGAGGTAAGACATAGTCCTAGTTCAGGCACTTGTGATTTCCCTCGGACAGCCTAAAGAAAATTAAAAAAGTAAACTACCAAAATATTTTAGTTTAGAAGGCTGTACTGCAACACAGAAAACTTTGTGATAAAGTTAACTGTTCCATGATGAAGGTTCAACAGCATACACCGAAAGTAGAAATTTCTAGCTTTTTCAAGTTGCAAAAATCTAGCTGCAGTGAGTAACTTGCCAGGTTAAAGACGCGCAATCACCTTTCAACTAATAAAACAGCCCTAAACAAAAGGTCTGTCTGCCTACCTGCTTCATTTATCCAGCCTCTGAGACGACACAATTTGCTCAAGTGGCTCACGAGGAACAATATAATCAATTTATTAGAGAGAAGTCATATACACTGAATCTGGTATGAACTACATCACATTTCTGCCCTTCCTCCAGAAGGTGCTGATGGCAGAATTTAGACACACTATCATTATACTATGTATGAAACAATTAGTATACCAAATTCAAAATGAAATGCAAGCTTCTCTATTAGCTTTTTATTAAGAATGCAATTCAACACTGTTTGGAGGACCTGGATGAACAATAACTTAGCTGCAGCTTCCAAGCCCTCAAAGTAGGAGATATGTGATATTTCTGCTGGCTCTTTGCATTGAGGTAGATCAACCCCAGTAATAAAATGAACTTTCAGAGACAAGATTGTGAACACCTGACAGCTAGAGAAAATGCCCTAAGTGGTTTTATTTTTGACCAAGTTCCCATGGATTTTGTCTCCAGGAGGGGTGGGATACATCAGTTCCTGCAGAAATATGGGTATCTCTCATTTCAAATACTAATTGACTTTAAAAGACAAAAATTAAACTAAGCGTATTTATTATGCTTTAAAAGATATTGTGACCTAATTTCTTCTTAACAGCTGGGAAGGAAATAGCATCAGAAAGCTTAGGTGGCATTTAATGGAAAAAAAAGGCAAACAATGGAACTGCCAAAATTTTACAAGAAATCCTTTTTCTCCAGGGATTCCCACCTGTATTATGCAGACCCAAGAGGTCCAGATGAACTGCAGATAAACATCAGACTTTTGCGTACTTTTCTGAACCCAAACACTGGATCTTTTGTTTTATCTTGGCATTATTCTTCACCTTTGCCCCTGAAAAGCTATAGTAAGTCTCAGAAATTGCATTCAAAAGCAATTAACTCCATCATGTGTAGTGAAGGTCAAGTATCACGCTCTTCTTACTTGTATCATTACGTGTCTGCTTTGTTAATTCAATAATTTTTATTAACATGTGCTTTGCCTCTATATCAACACTTTCAATTATTAAGCGGTTTGTTTACTATTACAGGAATCTTTGTTTCATCTTACAAAATTGCATTACCTGGAACACTGAGATGGGCTTTCAGTGAAACTAAGACATAGTCTTCTGGGTATACTCATAAAAATAGGATTCAAGTATTTGGAAAATCTATTCATTATCTTGATGTTTTTAAATCCACTCCTAACACTAGGAGTTTCAAAGAAAGCTAGTAGATGCCAAGACCAAAACAAACAAAGAGGGAGGATTCCTCGCAATATGTGTATGTGAAACTTAAATCATGAAAATTCTTGTCACAAAATATCACAGATGTTAAAAGTTTACAGGAGAAACTAGGCAAGCTTGTTGAGGACAAACCAGTTAGGACTACTAAATACACAGAAACCATGTCAGGAAGTCTCTGATCTGCAAATGGCTGAAAGCTTACAGGAAGGTTAGAGGCTTTTGCAAGCCCGTTTTTTAAACATTTCCCAAAGCACCTTGCTTTTGGCTCCGTTGGAGTCAGGACTGGTCTGACCCAGCACGGCTTTTATTCTGTTCTTGTATCCTTATCTTGTTTTAACACAGCTTTTAGTGCTTTTTATCTTTGAGAAACTAACTTGAAAAATAACAATAATTGCTTCCAGTGGATTCATATTCTGGATCTTTTATGACATCATTCACTTTTGAAAGGTAATAATACTATAGACACACTGCAATTACTTCATATAATATTATCACAGCTGACAACAGGGTTTCAGTAACAGCCTTATCCAAAACCCATTGAGGTCACTGGAAAGACTCCCATTCATTTTAACGGGCTTGGAATCAGACCTTAAGATTCTTTGAATGGGAGTATAATAAAACAGGAAAAAAAAGGAGCTGGAAAGGAAAATTATTCTGATGTTTTTCTCCTTGGCGGTTTAATTTTCTTTGCATTGTCATTTCTCTTTTGCCTGCCATCAATACAAAAATAACACAGTCTGGAGGAAACACCCATATTGTTTACAAAGGAGGTTTTTAGCAGTGCCTTTGAACTGGAAAAATATCATATTGAAAATACATTTTCAATGTAGAATAAGCCATCTATTCTGAGGAAAACTCAGGAAGAACTCTTTTTCCAGAGGAGGACAGTGCAAGAGTCTGTTTCCACCCAAAACAGACCAATACTATAACCACTCATTACTGTTCATCACTTCATTATTGGCAGGTTGCATAATGCTGGGACTAACTAACCCTAGTTTTAGTTCTGCAGACCATTTATTTATCTGGAACCACTTATCTTATTTTTGGATTTGTGGACAGTTTAGATAAAATAACTGCTAGATCAAATAACTTTTGGTTTTGGTCTTGCAAACCCATAACTGAGCTTACCAGGTTTTGCATCCTTAACAAGCATTTTACCTTTCCCAGTCAGTATTTATTTAGTCCATTCGAGGGCAGAGCCATATGTCTTTGCAAGAGGTATGGCTTTGTGGAGTCGGCATGCTGTGGAGGCAGACATCATTCTTAGCAGAGCCACCATGCTTTTGCATCTAAGAGAGCTGTCTCAAAGCAGCTATTCAGCAGTAATGTTGCAAGAAAAGACTAACAAGGGAAGCTAGTTGTGGGGACAGGGATGCCATAAGCTTCTCCAGAGCACAGATTATGGCTTTCCCAAACATCTCTGAAGTCCTATGATGCTCTCCACAGTAAGACTATCCATCATGAATTCTGAAGATGAGCCTAATCCAACTTATCTTACCTCTGGGAGCCAGTGTTTTTTTCCACATATTAAGTCAAAGCAAGAATTTTTGATAAAAAATGACAATGAATGATAAAAAAATGAGTGGCAGATTTTGACTTGAATTTCCCTCCCCCTGCCCTTAATCATCTGAGGTGGTATTTGCAGGTTATCTCTCCAGGACGTGGCTGGTACAGCAAGTTGCTGTGTAACCTTAGGCCTACAGGTAGATCATTCACATTGCTTCTATTGTCCAATGTTCTAGTGTAGGCTTTGCGTATGAGTTGCCCAGGACTGAATCAATCATGGACACAAACCCATGGCTCTTCCTCAGTAGAGGAAGACTCTTTTCAACACTTGAACATTTCAAACACTTGTTCAAATCCACAGACACACCTAAGATCCTCCCAATGGTTGCTGTGACCCTTTTGACCCAAGATTTGGTGAGAGTAAACTTCCTGAACATCTTCAGCTTCCCAAACTTCTCAGAACATTATTTCACAATTAGCATCTTTGCAGCCAACAATTCTAATTATTCCTCACCTCTGAAACAAGAAGCTGTTTCATAAAAAGTGCCTCTAATACTAGTCTTTTTGAGCACAAATTACAGTTCTAGTTTGGTAATGTTACATTTGAAATAAAATAATACATTCTTGGAGGTAAGCAAAGTTTTTTCCATAAATTTAGCTCGCACATTGTGGAATGAATTCCCAAGCATAAATATTTATAGATGTATTCAAGATGACGGATTATTTTCGTGTGGTCCAAAACCAGCTCAGCTACAGGGAGGGAGAATTGTACTACTGAGTCTTCTGCAGCAATCAGATGTTAAAAATGTGTTTTGAGAGATGCTCCTCATTCTGATAGTATAAATCATTTTAACCACTGATAATATGGCATTTTTCAAAGGCTCTGAAATAACTTTGGCACCCTCAGTTACACTTATGCCCATTAGTGCTCGAAGTCACTTGGGGATATGGGACTTCAGTTCCTAAGTCACTTTTGAGCTTGTAGGGACAGAGAATGAGACTGGAAATTTGAAGTCAATCTCTTCTGATAGAAGATAAACACTTCCTTCCATCCTTCCCATACAAGCACTCAAGCTTCTGATCTCCATGGGAAAACCACAAGGTTTTCCCAGAATCTCACCGCTGTGAATGGCCAGGGACTTCCCTCCTGGCCGTATGTTTTCAGCTTAAATGTATTTATGGCCAGTTCACAAACATTTGTTCTTCTGCTTGCACTGGCCTTTCCCTTACGTATATTTTTGCTTCACAGGTAATTACTCCCCTTGCAGAATTAACAGATGACCCTTTCCAGCCCTTTCTTTTGCTAGGTTAAAAAGAGCAAACTTCTGTTTCCCACTAATAGAATACGTTCCCTGGTCAGCCTAGTATATCTTCCCTATTTTTGTTGCAGTTAGTCTTTCCTAAAGATGTGGAATCAAATTTTTGCACAAGATACCACATAAAGCCTTACCTGAATTGTGTGCAAAGACATGCATACTTCCCTGTATGTCTTGAAAATCTCCCTCCTGATCCTAGGATCAGACTAATTTTTTCATGGATATATCACAGCATTTTCTTACGTTCAGTTGGCATTTGCTTATAACTAATTAGCAGACCAGACCTTTCTTTTTCTCAGACATGCCAGACTGTTCACCACTATTAGCATGTAGGAGATTTTTTTAATTAGTTTTCCTATGCTTGATCTTGCATTTTTTATGATTGAATTTCATACCACTTCTATTACTCTAGCTTTCAAGGCTACCCCACTTCTTCCTGAATGATACCCTTGATCTTCATTTGAGCTTTCCAAAACTGAAATCCATAGGTTGTTCAGAAAGGAAGAAATCTTTTAAAGTGGAACCAACATATATTCTAACCCCAGCACAGAAGATTTAGAATGAGTATTTTTGTGGAAAAATTTCCAGCAATATGTTTCCAACTCATCGTGCACTGATACCCATTTTTAGCACTTATTCTTAATTTCCATTTACTCCACTACCACCTGAATGCAAGGTATTTACCTTTCAACAGTCGTTCCAGGGCTTATTAACAGAATTATATATTCATGCATAGTTGGCTGGATTATAAATCCATATTACTGTAGCCATGGGTATTTTCACAAAGTTATGAAGCTAATAATTTTTCATAAAATGCAGTCACTATACCTGGGAGGAAAAGGCCTGGCTTTCCCAAGGAATGGTCCAATCTGAAAAGCAAACAGAATTACCAGCAGTGCAATTACCAAGCAAGTTAAACTGTTGCTAGGAAAAGCATAGGAGCATAATTTACATGAGAATTTACAGTAGCTTTAAACCTAAAACAAAGCAAGTAAAAACATGAGACTAGCATGATTTTCTGCACATACAGTCAGCAGTTCAGTTCTTTAGGGTTTTTTTCCAAAATCAAACCATATTATTATTGTTATTTTTGTGAGTACTAATATTTTATTTCTTAGACTTTCATGTTGTAACTAAAACATAGTTCTCCTGTGTCATATGTAATCTAATAACAAAGATTATACAAACAGAATGGCTTCTTAATAACATTTGCAACTATTCCTTGAATCTCACGCAGGCAGATTTAATATCTATATATGTTGACACAGTAGATTCCATTCAATAGGATTTTTTTTTTTTTTTTTTTTTTTCATTTCATTTAAGGGCCAGAGGAGTTCAGTCTGGTGTCCCAGTCTGCAGTGTTAATTTGTAAAGAGAAAAGCACTTTGTGCTGAAACAGAAGAGAGTAGTTTTGTGGCAAAATATTTCAGCTGCGATCCCCAAAGTCAGAGAAAGCATGTGCATGGAGGAATGTGGGAAGGGAAAAATTCCAGACAGAGAGGGGAGCACAAGCGAACCAGATTTCTCTCAGTTGTGGAGAACCACAGAGAGGGGACAGAAAGGTAAATCATTATTTGAACAGTTTTCTAAGAAGAGGGCAGAAAAACTCACTTCATACTATAAACTTCACAGCATGCGCCTTAATTTCTTTTAATTTCACTTGGAGGAGGAGAGGAGGATAAAGGATAATTGTAAACTTGGTCATAAAAAGGGTTAAAAATGACTCCAAGTTAAATCCTCTAGATATTGTGCTCCCTGTTGTGCTTGCAATTTTGGACAATTACTGTTCATTAAGTACACATCTCTCCTAAAGCCAGCTGGCACCAGAGAAATCAAATATTTCATGAGGTAGACAGGGCCTACCTTCTTTGAAGTTCTTTTATCCGAACCATCATATTGAGGTGTCCTTGTGAGTACTGTTCAATCACATCGCGCACGTCATACGGTTTCCGAGCTTGCTGTGAAAGGAGTCATACATGAGATTGAAAGGTAAGTATAGTTTAAACTTTATTTTTATTTCAGACAGGCCTTCATTCTATTTTTCATCTTCGAGAAGTTATTTGCTTGCCATTTTGCAATGGTTGTTGCAATGAATAAAAAATATGTAGGCATTGTAGGAGTGCATATTTATTGTGGGGATGGAGCCAACTGATTCCCATTACTGTCAGTTAGAGTCATGTCTTTATGTTACTTCATACTGAGCAAAATATTAGACCTTCACAGTGTATTTAAAAAACACAAAACCAAGATATATAATTTATCTAAGACGATCATGTGCGATATCTCTTGGCTCATTCCAAAACCATATGCTAATCAGAATGTCAGAGGACTGAACCACAGAGATAGGCCCAATTGATAACACTTGGACCCAGAATCAAATGCCTCTGAAGACTAAAGATGGCTGGTGACAGAAATATTATTGCTTAAGTAACTGGGAGGACAGACGCTTTGCATAAGTCTGAAGACTGCACGTAGATTTTGTTTGCGCTTCTTTGTCTTTAATGATACCTACGAGGTCAGGAAAAAAGGTGCAATTCAAATAAATAAAAAAGGACAGATAAAAATGCAAGAGAGCTAAAAAACTGCCATCTGCCCACCTTTATTCCCATTCTAATGAGAATCCAGATGCTTCTGCCAAGCTCTGGTTTCTTGCTATAACTACTAAGGCAGAATTTTGAAACAAGTCTAGAGAATTTGCATAAAGTGATGTGATTATAAAAAGCGCAGCATGGTAAAATTTTACCAAGTAAAATTAATTTGTGTGTGTGTCGGAATAAATGCAAATGATGTCCTTTCGAAAATACCGCCATTTTCAGAGCCACACCAACCCCTATGGGAAATGTGGGGCAAGATGTCTCCTTTTTGGCTCTGACTCAAGAAAAGAAGAAAAAAAAGAAAGGTAAACTGCAAATCTAGTAATTGGAAATTACTGAAAACAGCTCATTAGTCATCTTGTTGTCTGTTTCCACTCTGTCACAGCTTCAGCCAGAGCCATTAGCATGCACCACTGCACACATGCATTGAACACCTACAGTATGTGCTGGAGTCATGCTTGGAAGGCAGCCACAGGATCCTAGAAATTTCAAATGAAAGCATGGAACTGGAATGGAAACAAATCCTGTGAAATGAATGAAGAAGCAAAAGCTCTTCGTGATAAAATGCCTTCCTTGCGCTCAGCCGTCAGCACTTACCTGCATTATTACTTTCAGAAGAGTTCATGGCTTTGGTAGTGTGCATGTACATTTGTGTGCATTTGTGAGAAGAGATACTTTGTGGGGGAGGGAGGTTTCAGCTTTCAGTTTATCGCCTTTTTTTTTTTTTGCCTTCCCCAGCTTCACATTTTGCAGACGCTGACACATCACTATTTCTGGCCAGAAAAGCAGCCTATTGTCTTCACCCAGAGAAACAGTGCCAGTATCACTCTTTAGATTGACTAGCGGGGGTGCTTTGAGAGCATTTTGGCTAAATCCTCTGTCCTTTCCTTTGGACACTCTTTATTTAAACACGATGCATGGCGCAGAGCCTAGATGTGCTGGGGATTTTTCCCCACCTCCCTCCCCTCTCCCCCATGGGCTACTATGTGCATAATTAATTCTACTCATTCCCAATGAAATTTCTTTTCTCCCTCAAAAGAAGTCCTCTATCTGTATCCCTTTTACCAAATCACCAGCTCTGAATCCCATAGTTGCAAAGTCCTGTACAGTGCAGTCTGCCTGAGTCCTCTCTAAAGCATAGTAAAAATATCCTTCCAACGTTCACCATTTTTCTCTCCTCTTTTCCCATGAAGCTTTAGATCTGAGCATCTTATGTGCTGCCAAACTTTGGCACAATCTCTTGTCATGTTTTTATTAGGAAATGCTAGTACAATACAACTTAAGGCGGGAGGTTATGGGCTTCCAGGGAGGTTTGGTAAATGCAGAACTTGAAGAACTTCTTTAACTTTCATTGTGTCCATTCTGTCCATAATCCCAAATCCTGGCCATTTGGGCTCAGCATTCTACATCCAGCGTGCTTAGAGCTCCTAATGCAAAACTCAAAATAATATTACCCGGCTTTGAACTTCCAAAATCTAATTATCATGGGGAGTCCTATAAGCTATATTTCACAGTCCCAAGAAAGAAAAAAAAGTAAAATAATTCCTTCTTCTTCTTCCCTATTACTAACACCAACTCACAGAATCCTCTCCATAGACTGATCAAGTTCAGTTTTTAAGGTTTGGCATGACTGCTATTGGCTGACAGCTCCAGAACATTAGGTCTCTGGTGGTTTGAAATATCCTAATTTTTATCCTAACTCATTTATATACTGATTTTATTTTCCAGGAATGGTGTCTCTAATTTTCTTTCCTTTTTTTTTTTTTTTTTTTAATTTCCCATAGTGTTTATCTCTCTGGTGTATTTACAATATAATCCTGCTCTCCTGTTGTTTGCTGAATTAAACAAACTGACTTCTCCTAGTCTTCTTTCATAAGGCAAGGTCATCTGAAGACACATTTCTGCATGAGCTTGGGAAATGTACGTGCTGTTCTGTCTGCCCTAATTCAGAGTCTTCTGAGTGCTGTGAGCTTATCTCAGACTTCTATCCCATGCAATTAAGTGCTCAGCTGTAATCAAACTTGCTTGAAATTTAGGTTCTTGCTTTATCTTTTTAAAACCTCTTCAAAAGGATTATGAAAGTTGATTAACTTGCAGTGGACCCTCTTGGACAAAAAAGCATGAACCTTCAGATGGAAATAACAGGGGCTTTGAAAATTAGGCCAGAAGTTAATTATTCATTTCCATGGCATCACCAGCACATGGGTGATGAGAATGATGATACCAGAATCACATTCCAAACAAGTTTTATCATAACGGGCCTTAGTAAACAGGCAAAATGAGACAGTTTTTCCAATGCAGCACATTTAGTTTGAGCACTTTGTAACCTGATTGAGAAATTTAACTTAAGACTTCATAAAGACAGCAAATTTCCAGAGGGCAGATGCTTCACAATTTTATAAAAAACGGCCTCTCTATGATATCCCATTCTGGGAAACAAATTTGGAAATGTAGGCCACAAATGTGAAAGCAACTTTAGACAGCATAGTACTCATCAGTAAGGTCTATTGATCTGTCAGCCATACATAGCATGCAATTAGTTGAACGTTCTCTAACCAGTCGTTAGATGATCAGTATACACAGTAACAGTATTTTAGCAGACACTCCGATAAAGTCTTTTCCTCACTTCTTCTGGTAGATGGGTAAGTAGTTTATATATTGGTCAGTATAGTAAAACAAACAAACAGAACCCTAACAAAACAAATGCAGTAAAAAAGAAAAGCAAAAAATAACTATGCTGACTCCACAAATTCAGAAGGTTTTCGTATCATACTATATCCATGGATAGTTGATAGTTTTGCCCACACTATGAAAAAATCCACATAGAGTAAGTATGAGGCCGAGAGCCTAAGCAGTACCTTTGACTTATTCCAACTGCATACACAAAGACAAGTTCACTCTCAGAGCATTTTCAATGTCATATACTTAAGCTTACAAATTGTACTTATGGTTAATGGTGCTGCTTACCTGAAATTTTCTTCTGGCTACAAAATACTGCATTCTCCTGATGACTTTTACAGCTGTTCGATGTGCATCAGTTAATCTGCCAAGAAAGACAAACACAGACGTACACCAGTGGGGAAAAAAAAAGTAGGAGAAGTATCTTAATGGAAGATGTTGACTCTAAGCACCAAGATCTACAAATATGTTTTATGTCTACAATGCAAAATTGTAGCATAACACACTGCGTGTGCACGTGTATTTTGTTCTGTTGCTTTACCCTCTTGTATATTGTGGTTCTAAGTATAAAAAACTGATAAGTGAGACAATGAAAGCAGGTGTACAAAGATAATACACGTGGGGAGTATTAGACAGGATTACTGTCAATGCATACAACTGGCATCAGTTTGAAGAATGTGAAATGTTTTTAAACCATGACTGCATTCCTTATTTTGCATTTTTTGAGTGTTTGCCCATGAGCTCTATTGCACAGAAATTAAGTCCTTTAAAAAGTACTTTGAATTCTCTAGGAAGGAAAGAAAAATTGAAGTATTACATCTAAAAAAAATAAACATAACACACCCTCTCAGCACACATGTGTGTGTGCATGTGGCTGTCTGTGTTGGTATTCAAACACAGAACTGGACATATTATACCTTAGCAATATCACTTCACCCAGAGGACACTGCATTTGAAGAACATTAATTGTGCCACTTGGCTGGTGATTAATTACCACACCCCCTTATTTATGGTGAATTTTGGAGGGGTAAAAAGGAAGCAGGAATATGGTAATTATAAGAACAAGTATTTTATTTAAGCACTGACTCCCTCCCCATGGACTTATTCATTCATTCAAAATGAGTGAATTAAAGAAAACAAAATTTTCCTTCCAAGGAAGCTGCATTGTTAGGAAATCTATGTTCTATACAGACATCATCTTTGACATGTGATGATAACCCTAGGAAAGCTTGCCAGCAAGTTTCTCAAGTCTCCTGAAAACACAATCTGCAGCCTCTTCCCAGTGTATCTGACTGGGGAAAAGGAAGTATTGGTTAGGCCACCTACTTGGATGCCACAGTTTAGAAATCAAGTCTTTAAAAAGTGGAAAGATTACAGTGTATTATTTCAAAGTGAAGTAAATAAAAGCTAAACAAACAGGGACTGTATTTAAGAACTAGCATCGTTTTTCATTTTTATAATTTCTCTTTGATAAAATTAGTGCTTCTGATTGGGTGAGCCACAGGAACAGGGTTTTTAAAATAAGCTTTCAGTAGCTTTTTCTTGGTCTTTTCATGTCAGGTCCCAGTTTAATATTAAATACATGCACAAATATGTGTGAAACTCAGGTGTCTATACTACATATATCCTCACACTTCATGTATCTATGTATATTCATGCACATTCACTCATACACGCAAACACACAGAAGGCAATGCAGGGTGAGCACGATTCAAGAACCATCATTGTTGTATACCATCAAGAGCATTGCTAAGTATGAATCTTTGCATTTGTGTAAACGCATCAAAGGGATTTCAGAAGTGTCACTGACAGACTACCAGCAGTTTAGCCTACAGGATCTTTATTATGGTAAAAGAAAAGCTCTCAGCATGGCACTCGGGGCCCCAGCTGAGCTCCTGTGGCTGATGACTAGAATGGAGACAACATTCAGCTTGTAAATGGCACATACTTGATAGAGAAATCTTTGTCTGTCAGCCCTTACAAGTAATATGTATATATTTTTATAACCAGAACAGAATCACAATTTAAGGTTTAGGGTTTAGCCTTCCTCCTTTGTGTACCAGTTAAGATAAAAGCTTGACATTATCCCCTAGTTCTAAATGATGTGAGACTTCATATATATATTTAAGAGGGGTTTTTTTAGGGTAATCCATATGAGATGGTTCGTGCATTGTTTAAACAGCCTCAAATAGATAAGCTTAAAGAGATGGAAACAAACCAAGGCAGTAATTTCCTCCTAATTCCCCTCCTTCAGCAGAAATCAAGGCTACAGAACTTTTTCCAATGCGTTATCAACTTTAAGTGTCCAAAACCATGAGGCTGACTCTTGGAACCTGATGTACAGTTGAATAGGCCTCATTTTTAAAGAGAAAAGTTATTTATTTGTGAAATACAGCAAAGAAAATCACCTGACTATAATTCAAAAGCACTTGATATTGGCCTGTTCCAACTGGCAAAATTCACACCAATCTCATTGGGAGCAAATTTTGAAAAAGGAGGAAGTTACTGTTCAGATTCGATGGTCACTAGTATTAAACTGAGGGACAGAAATACATGAAACCTGGCTTTAATGGAAAAAAGACAGCGTGAAAAGGTGCAAATCCGTAGACTGAGATATGTGGATGTGTTATCTTAATTGCCTCAATAAATCCATAAGGAGCACAGCAGCTCCAGATGACAGAGGGCAGCTCTAGATGAATTAAACTCCCTGCTCTGTATAGTAAGCAGAGCGATCCTCCTGACGGCGGGTTGTGGCAGTGTGGCTGACTGTGATCCTAAACATTTTTGGAGATTTTAGCTGATTTTCATAAGTTTCCTAGCACTGATGAACAGAATGGATAATTATAGCTATTACTGGCCACGTTACATTTATCCCTGTATTTAGCCCAACACATTTATCCTGCTAAGCCTTGTATTTTAGTCCAAAACCTTGGATTAGGCAAAACCCTTTCAGCCTTGAGGGTGTCAGTCTGTTACATGCCAGAAGCATACAACAGGAGAGAACAAAAGGCCAGAGATGCTTTAGGTCATGCTTTAGTAATGCTCAATAGAAACACAACACTGCTTGCAGTGAATCTCCTAGATATTTTGAGATATGCAACTCATGAAACAACAACCCAGGGGGGTTGTGGTGGATA